CTAATTACGTCCATACTACGATCTAAGTGCGTCTTTACCCCGATCTCATTGCGCTCAACAAGCTTTCACCACGCTCAACACCACGCCCGCATCACGCTTTCACTGCGCGGACGGCGTCTTTATTGCGACCTATCAGATCGTGTTGCGTTCGAACGACGCTTGCACTGCGCCTTAGCAACGCTCACCGCGCCTCAACTACGCGCCAATCACGCGCCGACTGCGCTGGCAACGATCATATAAATACCGCGCCGCGTTCTATACATCACCCATAGCATCACCATTCATTTTGCCGTGCTGTCAAGATTAACATCAAGATAACTAAGATCAACATTATCAACTTAAATCAAGATTAACATCAAGATTATTTTCTACGGACACAACTATGCCGCCAAAAGACAAGGGGAGAGCCAGCAAGATCTTTGTTGTCTTCTATTTCTCCTCCTTAGCATGATGAGGGTTTAGCAATCAAGTAGTTCGAGTTGTCCTTCTACGAGAACAATGGCATAGAGTAGTGTTGCCTCATCCATAGTGGACACTGAACTGGTGGGGTGGCCCGGGTAGCACCCCAAATTATACCCCAAGTTTGCAGAACGTGATCTGAGCGTAACTAACACGTAATGCGAACGCCACAACGGCGTAGTCTGAGCGTGTTGGGCGTAGTACAATCGTAGTACGAACGGGTCGAGCTTGTTAGAGACGCACCATGGTCATAGCGAGAGCGTGGTCAGGTCGCAGAGACATCTCCATGGACGTAGTAACAGCGTGATGAAAACGTATTGACATCGTGCTGAGAACGGGGCGACAATTTTCACGCGCCCGACACGCTTGCGATACGACCATTAAGTTCGTACTACGCTCGAGTTACGTGGGTACTACGCCTTCCACGTCTCTAATGCGCCCGCACTGCGCTGTATTTCCGCCACGCTCGCACCACGATTATTTTGAACATGTTCAAAGTTTGGCCACGCTCTCCACGCTCATGCTGACTGCACCGCGCTCGATCACGATCGCAGTACGTTCATATACGTCCACACTGCGTTCTACACGTTTCCACTACGCTCTTAGAGCGTAGTACGAGCGTAGTGAGATCGGGGCCCTGGTGTGACTGGGGTATAAACGTCATGGTTTAATATATAAACGATCCGATTGCACGCGAAAGCAGTGTATCAGAGAGGATATCTTATGAATTTTGAAATGTGAATTTATCTTCTGCTGCCCTAAGAAACTAATTCTGTCACAAAATCAACCCGATCGAGTTGTGATCTAAATTGGCATGAAA